CCGATCTTAAGACCTTATAGGCATGGTATCTAAATTAAAAAAATGATTCTGAAGTTTCCTATTGACATGGTATCTAAATGCAAAATGATTCTGAAATTTCCTATAGACATGGTATCTAAATGCAAAAATGATTTAAAACTTTATAGGCGGGATTTTTAAAATACAGAACTGATTTCGAAACTTTATGGGCATGATTTAAATGCAGTAGTAAAATACAGAATTGATCTCTAGTGTGTCAGAGTTCCCAAGGGCTTCGAGAACCCAGGGCAGTGCTCACACTAGAGAACAAATGTTCAGAAACAGTTCATAAAGGATTGGAAACCAGCCCCAATGCGTCAGAGTTCAGATGAGTCTCATGGACCCTAAGCAGTGCTTAGATTGGGGGTAGCAGGACCCTAGTTAACTAAGAGTAGGAGTTGAAAATAATATATAAAAATAGGAGACAGTTTTGTTTTTTAAAAAAAAAGTTTGGATTATAGAAGTGCGTAGAAACAGATTACCAGATTACAAGAACCATAAGCAGCACACATTTAGCAGAGGGAGTTCAGCCATGAACTCTAGCAATCAAACAACAGACATGACAGAGTATCAATTAATTTGAACAAGGTTTCACACGGCCTTAATCCATTATTTATTACTAGGTGAACATATAGACATATGTTAATCAAAGAACAACATGCTGGGATCAAATTACTGATCAGACAATCATACAGAAAGGTAGCAAAAGTTGAGAGCATAGAAGTCATGAATTAATCAGGAGTTTGTTAGGGGGTGAACACTTAAAACAGGACAGAAATCATGCTAGTTGAGAGACAAATAGACATAGGTTTAATATACATGCTGAAAAACAAGAAGCACCTAGGTCTAATTTCATGGAAGTAGGCATGTTGATTAAGAGTAATAAACATGAAGCGCATAGGTCTAATTACATAGAAGTAGACATGCTGATTAAGATCAATAAGCATGAAGCACATAGGTCTGATTACATAGCATATTGAATGATGGCAGAAGTGGAGACATACCAGTTAAGAAATAGCAAACAGGAAGTTGAGAACAAGTAGAGTCCAATAGTCTAGCCTTGACTTTCAGCCGGCTAGACAGTGTAGCAAACACAAGTAACAGAAAAGATCACAATGGAGAGTGTGTGTGAGTAAGAGTAAGAATCTGTGTGTAGGTGTAACTTTCTGAGTGTGTTCGTGTAAGTGTCTGAGTCTCTCCCTTGAAAATTAGAACAAGAAAGGTTTTTATAGCATGCAATAGGGTAGGTCACATAAGGTAATGAATCAATCACACATACATAAGGTATGAAAAATCAATTAGCAATCAGTCATGAATCAATTAAGAGGATAGAATTAAATAAGTACCACTTAATTTAAGGAAAAATCTCACACAGAATTAGTCCGTAATTAAGAGCAAGGTTAATAAGGTAAGAAACAATTTCCGTAATCAATTAGGAATCAGGACACACAATCAAGCCAATAATATGGATACATAAATGGAGTAAGAACAAGTAAAACTTAAATAAGGAAATATGGGTACTAAATTCAAACCCTAATTTAGGTAAGTAAATCAATTAACAACTTAATTGACAGAGTTAAAGGTAACGGGCAAAAGACAACAGGATAAATAGTCAGAGAGTCGAAACCCTAGGATATGTCAAAGACATAGAGATGAAACTTAAAAAGGATCGCTCGAAATAGTAAAGAAGAAAACATAATATAAAGCATTTAAACGTCTAAGCATTTTCACAGAAAATCCGTTAGGGATCAAAACCCTAGGGTAAAACGAAATCGGTTAACAATAATAGTAAAAGCAGAAAAATCTTAAGGAAAATACCAAACAAACTCAAAACCGTTTTAGATCTAAAGATGAGAGATTTGAACCAAATCTGGTTCTAATCGCTTGAGATCCCATTAAGTAACATGAAAATCAAACAACCAGTAGAGGTAGGGGGTCGGATAAGACGATAAATCACCAAAGGATTCCATATCCGGTTGGGAATCGCAGGGATTTGGAGGGAGTTTTGAGTGACGGCGCTCTAGGGTTTGAGAGTGTCTGAGCGAGAAGAGAGGAGAAGAGGGCGGCGGTGTTTGAGAGAAATTGGTAGGGTTTTGGGGTTTGTTGGATTTAAAAGGCAAGAAATAACGTGGACCGTTTATCTCAAAGATCAACGGCCACGATCAGAGGGGGTTCTGGGTCAGGCTGGACGGGTATTTGGGTTGGGTTAGGTTAGGAAATTTAATTAAGAAAGGGGCTATGTTTTAAATACCTATTTAATTTAATAAAATAATTTATAAATGATAAAAATGTGATTTGTGCCTGAGAATGATTTAAAATAATTCTTAACATTATAAAAAATATAAAAAGTCATTTTCTGTATAGATAAGATAATATGCATATATATGGGCTATTATTGCAAAATATGTAATTATAGTCTTAAAAATGCAAATGTAATTATAAAAATATAATTAAAATATTTGAACAGTTATATGTGCATAAATGATGAATTTAGATGATTAAATCATCATAAAGTAATATGAGGGATAATTATTGAATATTTATATAATTAAAAATACAGAAATAAATTGATTTAAGGCCTTTAAAAATTATAGAAAAATTGTAAAAAATACTTGTGCATGCATGTACAATATTTTAAAAGTATGTATGCATATTTAAAAATGTATGAGGGAAAAATTGGGTATCAACACTAGGAATCTAATATTGAGGACAAACGTTTCTGAAATGTCCTTAACTTTTGGACATTAAGCGAACCATGTACTTAATATTTACATAACATTCATGAAGTTAAGGATACTATGTCCTTAACATTTACACTGCACACATAAAGTTAAGCACACCATGTCCTTAACATTTACACTGCACATATGAAATTAAGGACATGATGTCCTAAAGTTTAACAACAGAAGGTGCAAATACAGGACACTTTGTCCTTAATATTTACACAGTAATCATAAAGTTAAGGATACTGTGTCCTTAATATTTACACAACACTCATGAAGTTAAGGACATCATGTCTTTAACATTTACACTGCACGTATGAAGTTAAGGACATTATGTCCTAAAGTTTAAAACAGAAGGTGCTAATTTAGGACACGTTGTCCTTAATATTTACATAACACTCATGAAGTTAAGGAAACCATGTCTAGCACAGGGGTATTTTTGTTCGGGCGGGTAAGAGTTATTAAAGCACTGGCTAAAGAGTAAATACATTTTAAACGGTGGCTAAAGAATAAATACAGGTCTAATTAGTGGCTAAGTGTGCACTTCCCCCTAGTTTGCGCCACTTAAGCGCTGACATTTACCTAGTTATACTATATTAGAAACTTATTTACCAATGTTCTCTATGTTTTGTAGTTTTTAATAAGTATCTAGGTTTTTCTTATATATTGTGTAGATTGCTCCTTAAAAGGCTCTCAACGCATTATTAGTGCCTTCAATTAAGGAATTCAATTATATCCTTTCCTTTTTTTCCCCTCTCCTTTTCTCTCTCCTTTTCTTTTACAATAAAATTCCTTAATCTCCGCCTAGAATCTCCATCTTCTCTCTTTCCACCATTGCCGATAATTTTATATTATTAAATCATCAGTTGCATCGTTCTTTTGCTGGGAGACCGAACAACACTGAAAATGAAGAAATATTCAGGAATTGTATGATAAATGTATCATAATTGTATTTAAACTCAGATACATCAATACGTAAAATATAATTGTATCATACTTGTATCACAATTGTATATAACTTGTAGATGGTACATTAATATCCAGAATAATACCTGATAAATACTAATAAATTAATATATAATTATCATATATTTGTGATACAAACTGTGAAATTCGTCACGATCTCACAACTGCTCATAATTCAAATACAATTTTGATACAATCCTAAAAGAATTCTTACACAATTCTGATACAACTTAAAACCGACTCTAAACTTAAACTGATACAATATCGTATTATACTTGTATTAGTATTGTATCATGTATTGTTTTAGGTACAAATTGTGATACAATTGTGATACACTTCTAAATTATGATACTACTTTGATCTTCATCTTTTTCAAGTTTTAATTTAAAACATCCACCTAGAACCAACTCTAAACTTAAATCATAATACGATATTGTATTTTAATAGTATTAGTATTGTATCAGAATTGTCTTAGGTATTGATATATCAAATACAACTCAGATATTATGATTTTTATCATACAATCGTAATACAATTCCGAAACGACTTCATCTTCCTCGAGTTTCATTATGAAATTCAACCTAAAACCAACTTTAAAGTAGAGTGAAGCTTACCCACAACTTGATTGTAGAGCAAATTTTCGAATTTCTTCTGTATTGTATAAATAAGAAAGGGATTTTGGACGATTAAAGAGAGAAATCGTATATCAACAGCTTTGGAAAAGGAAAGAATCTGCAATTTTGGGGGGATAACATTGGAAGAGGAGTGAGTAAGCGAGATTTTTGGGTCAGAAAGATTATGGGTATCAATGGGTTTCTTACTATGGGTAACTACAAAGAGAGGTGATGATTTTGAGGTTCAGTGGGTTTCTTACGGTGATGATTAGTATCTTAAATGTAGGGGATTATGTGTAACTGATACCCAATATTTAAGGTATGTCTCATTTCTTCCTTTTTATGGTTTTGTATAAAACTAGTAAATATAGGTATATAAAGTAATTAACAAGAAACCTAAATAAAGGTAGTAAATATGTTTCTATTATAGTATAGCTAGGTAAAAATCCCCTAACATATTGGCTTTATATTACATATAGATATGGACGGAAAAAAAAATGATAACCAAACAACTGATAAGTAATGAGTAGATATTTTCCTTGCACCTCAAACCAAAATTATTCTTTAAATCTTCAGATCAGGAAAATAAGCTAACGCTATAATTTTCTCCAGTCGGAAACTAGCAGAAGCCGAAGATGACAAGCTTGGAATTGGAAGGAAAAATTAAGCAGAAAATTTGTTTGCTAAATGCTGTCAGCAATCAGTTTGCATTAAATTCTATATGATTGAACTTAAATATTTCGGCTCAAACTGGCCGATGCAATCTACAATCCCAGTCGTCACTGCTATTCTAACTATCCACACGTAAAAAATAATACCAACTGTAGAAGAGCTTCTCTCATATATTACACCTACCAATGGAGTAGTGAAAATAAATATACATTTTAGTATATCCATTAAGAACAAGTGGAGAGAAGAAAAAATCATGGGTATCTCTACACTCTTGTACAACCGACATTAGTATTAGCTGGAACCATATTTCAGCTGCTCCCACCTAAACGGTTTGAACACATAAAGAACCTCTGGTGAGCTTTTGAACAGCAAAGCTACACACACGCATATGGCAGCAACTGCTACCATTGAGAGCATCGCCGGCCTGTATATTGCAACTCTTGTTTTCCCCATGTTTCCATATGAGAATTTCTGCTCGCACTGTCTGCAATGTCTTTGAATTGGTTTACTTAAAGGCTTCTCGGTTTGTAAGCTCACAACTTTTACCAACTTTTGATCGTCTTCTAGTTTCTGTTTGAAACTGCTATTCAACAAAGTACCAGGGATATTGACAACAACATGTCCACTACCTGAATTCTCATTAATTTTCTTCTGGACGACATGAATGTGTGAGTAATGACCTTGCAGGGATGCATAATCATTGGGTGTCAATCCAGTACTTTCACGGGCACTTCTCCATGCTTCAATTCCAATCTGAAGGAAACAATATTCAATACCTTGAAAAATAGGGAAAACAAAAAGATAAAAAGAACAGCAGTTATGTGCCACAAACATCGACTCCTTGTACATATATCAGTGCCTCCAATTTAGTCATCAAACAGACAAAACTATCATTTGACAATTGCTGCTGGTTAGAGAAACAAATTTTACTTCGGAAAGTAAAAGTCTAAGAGAAGGCCATGATTCATTTTCACTTTTCTCAACATATACTTTTTCTCCTCTCTAAGTTAATGGGACTGTCAATTATCAACATAACTACAGGAAAATGCACATAATAGATGAAGATATACCTGTCCTGGATCGTCAATTAATGCCTCCAAAAGACTCTCGCATCCGTCCTGACTAGCAACTATATGAAGTGGAGTCAAACCCCCAGGACCCTCCGAATCAGGTCTAAATAAGTAGCCACCATGACCTTGTTTCTTTTCTACCCCTGATTTATCAAGTACTCTGTGAGGACAGTATCTCAACAGCATTTCTACCATGGACCTTCTGTTTCCCCTTACAGCTCTGTGAAGGACCCCAAGCTCCCGCAAAGCAATGTCCAGTGATGAGTGTTGTCCTACATCTACAATGCCGTTGAAGAAAATACTTAAAAGTTTTTCCACAACAGCACACCAGGCATGGTCAACAGAGAACTCAATAAGCCACTTGAACCGTTCAAAAGGGAAGAGAATCAAGTTGGAACCAGAACCAAGTCTAAATTGCAAGTGACTTCGATGAAGCAGCCAACCCATCTCATGTATAAAGTCCAAAGCTTGGTCCCTAGCTTGTAACTCTTCAGTTGCTCCCAGGAAACCATCAGCTGTTTCAGCAGCCTCAATAATGCTCTCCAGGGTACGAATTTCGGAACAAACGTCTTTCTCTGCAACTATAAAAGGGAAGAAGCTGCTGCAAAGACCATGGTCTTCAACCTAGCCAAAGCATGCAACCTACATTTCAGAACAGAATAAAGACTAGCAAACTTCCCTTTAAGGAGAAGTAGCAATTGGTGTAAAGGTTTTACTTCACTCAACTAGCTCATCTAAATCAGTATTCATCACATGAAAAGTAACACATGGTATATAATAGGGGGTCCCAACAATTTCCTGTAAAGATGATATGATAATTTCCAAGTTATATGAGTTACAAATAAGAAGATTATTCATTAAAATTAAAAACGAAACATAAATGAGTGTTCATCAATCCATGTCTACACTTCCTTTGGCACATAATAAGAACCAGAAGAAGATCCTTACCTTGAATTTCTTCAGTAAATGATTCAGAGCATAAAACTGAGTTTTTGGGCAAAGCAGTAAATAAGGAGGCATCGAACTCCATCCAACGTAAACAACGGCTCAAAAGGGGAGACAAGAAGATACATTAACAGTTATAGGGACTAAGGAAAAGAAAAATAATTGCACCTCGATGAACCCCCTGCCAGTAATATTTGGCATAATACACGGAAAGCCAAGGGACTGGATCTCTTCATGCTCCATATAAGAATCACCTGCTCCCATCATATCTGCACAACTACCTTGCACAAGATATTTCCCTTCCATGGCACATAGTAACCTATGGCGACGTGGATATCACACAGAGTAAGTTCATTAGCTAAACATGGTCTAATTAGCTAGGATGACAATTTCAATGTCTGCTAAGTACCTTGTAGTTGGTCGAGATAGGTTAAAGCCTTTTACCAAAAACTGAACTCCCTCGGAGACAGAAGTTGCAAGTGGTTTGATGATTGATATCCTACAGTTTCTATGACTTTTAACTGACAAGGGAGTATCCAGAACAACCTGCCCTATAGTAGAAAACAAAAACACTCAGTTTTCCTGTCTGAGGCGTAGCAATTAATTGAAGATAGCAACATAATAACAGAACAAAAACCAAGCAAGAACATGACAAAGGACTCATAATATACCATTAAATATAAATGCCACACGATGCTGCACTCTAGTATAAACCCATCCAGTTCTCCAAAATGAATCGGTGGATGCATTGAGAAGTTTTGTCAAACCAGATCTAAGATCACAATAAAGCTGCAAAAAGAGAACTATTTGGTGATATATTTATTAGTCCAAAACATTAACAGCATGAGCTAGCTAAAGAACAGTTTGTGGGTAATACAATCAGTAGCAGATAAGAAGAAGCAGTCCCTGATTGCAATCCAACATGACATTCTTATTTTTTAAGTTTCATTTGAGCTTAGCTATGCATGCTGTGACCAAAAGTGGATCCAGGAATCCAAGTCAGTGGCTGTTGACTTCCAGTGAACTTACTGTTCCCTTGTGGGAATAGGTGCAAATTTACTATCAATTTATATTTGTAATTTATTATATTATATAGATAGAGTTTGAGTGGAACGCAGTCGGTGTGCCTGCGTAGCCAAGAGCCTATGGCCATGGCAGTGCTACCTTAAACATGAAAATAACTAACCCAGGCCAATATCTTTATTTATTTGTAAGTAGCTGCATTTCTTCTTCCCACAAAAATAATGGTACATATTCTGAAAATGAAAATAAGTTACCTCCTCCCATCTGGATTTATCCATCCGAAGATATATTGTCAATATGATGCATCCAGGTCTAATGTAGCTTTCAATATCTGTAGGGCTGTGTGCTAACCAATCCAGAATCTGCAAATTGTTCAGAAAGATATAAGTTGCATGTTGAGATGAAAGAAAAATATAGTAAGTTGTAACTGCATACTATATTATAGCAAGAGTACTAAAGTACCTGTTTTCGCAAGGTTGTAGGAAAGTCAGTAGGATCTTTCCCAAAGAGTTTAAAGACAATTCGATCTGTGCGGCTCTGAAAATTAGCCAAGAGCTGTAAGAGGCAAATCATCTTTTTTCCATGTGACTATCAAGTATTCAGAATCTAACTCATGGAACATTTCTTTTCTGCATCTATAGCTACCACTAAAAAGGATAACAGCCAACTGTCCAATATATATACCCCTCATCTAGTATCAAGATACAGATGAACCAAATTTTCTTCAAGGGACTGACTTATACTGCATAGAGAACCTTGAGTTATGTAGGATGAAAATGAATGTAGTGTAAAATGATGGAGGATTTGTAAGTCTCAACGGGTGACTATGAGCATTTTCTGTTACAGACAATGGCTGCGATAGTAAAGATTGAAAAAGGGGCCGTAGTCAACAAATGAGTGCATGCACGCCTAGCTGTTGGTGCTACATGAAGTTGATTGCTAGTGTAGATTTAAAACTGATTGCAACTAAGAGACCACTTTCAAGCTAGATATCTATGTATGATCTATGATTCAATGTGCTGGTGGTAGACCATGTAATGTTTGCTGGCATGCCACTGCTTTGCTGGATGGACAAAATGCTCTTTTTCTCATATTTTTTTCTCTTTTCAGCTGTTACTTATTCTCTTTAAATCTGAAAGAACCTTGCAGTGCACCTCTTCAAACAGAAACCGATGCAAGTGGGATGTCGCTTTCTGCTATTTCTTGAAAAATATGATTTTAGTGTCATCCAGCCAACAAAAAGTTCAACAAGGGGAAGGGGGGGGGGAGGGGGGGGTGGGGGGGGGGGGGGGGGGGGGGGGGGGGGGCGGGCAAAAAACTGAAAGCACAAACAATGATAATGCTGCACTTTACTCTTCTTTATTTTCAAAGGAGATAATGCTGCACTTAGAATCTGTTGGAGTAGCTGGAAAAAAAGGAGCTTTTAAGCATCAAGTGCTTAAAAGCACTTTTAAAGTGTTGGAGCTGATTTTGTAAATAAGCATTTACGTGTTCGGATAGAAGTGTTGAAGCTGAAATAAGCAACTAGATATGTTCAGTTAAAAGTGCTGATAGGCACTTTTTTCTATTAAATGACTTAAATGCCCTTAAAACCGTTAACCCCGAAAAAGAGTTGATCATTGTAAGATTTCAATTCTGAAGTGATTAAAATACAAAATTAATTTATATGTCAACTCAGTTTATGTTCCAAATTAATTAGCTACTATTATTTTCAATAAGTACAAATTATTTATTTAAATAACATATACCAGTAAAAATGGAAACTAGCAAAAGAATCTGGGGTTAACTGCTACGTAAAATTTCTTGCTGCATTTTCGTAATCTAACTGAAAAGGCAACCTGAAAAAGGAAAAGAATCCCCCAACATGAAGTTCGTTCAAATATTTTGGAGAAAAAAAAAAGCTTGTTCAAAAATTGCATCACGGATTTCCCCTTAACATTAAAGCTCGTTCAAAATTGGGATCATAGGTATCCAAGATTAGAACGACCCATGAATTTGACCTTCACCATGACATACTCAACCCCCCCCCCTCCCCCAAAAAAAAACCCCCAAATAATCGTTCTACTTTTCTTAAATGAATGCATGTTTCTGGATAAAATTTCTATGACGAAGGAAAACCTTGGGAGGCATGATCTAATCAATGATAGCATTGCAAGGTACAAAGAGAAAAAAGTTACAGGCCATGGCCGAGAAGTGCTTCTTATGAAGGAGAGGAAGTAGCAACAGGAAGAGAGCTGGAAGAAAGAAAGTAGAGCTAGGGCCAAAGGGTATTTGAAAATTTAAAAAAAAATGTAAGGAGTAATAAGTAAATTAATTGGCCAAACCTAAATAGCTTTTAAGCAGAAATAAATAAGTTGGAGTCACCCAGCTTATTGCTTTTGGCTTGTTTTAGCTTAAAAGCACTTGGCTTAAAAGCTATTTTTACATTTGCCAAATGCGACAACTAGCCAAAAATTGCTTTTAAGCTGGTTTGACCAGCTTTTAAGCCAATCCAAACACCCTCTTACTCTTTAATGAAAGGAGTAATGCTGCAATTACTCTTTGTTCATAAGCATAGAACAACTGCTCCTAACTATTGAAAACAAAACATGGAAAAGATCCAACAAAAAAAAATACAACATAGAAGTTGCAACTGCAAATACGTTAAAGGAGGAGGAATAAATCTGATGTACTTTTAAAAGAAATAAAGTTCTGACAGTGTCCTACAAAAGCATGCAAGACAACTGAACAAAATGGGCAGCCCGGTGCACTAAGCTCCCGTTATGCGCGGGGTCCGGGAAAGGGCCGGACCACAAGGGTCTATTGTACGCAGCCTTACCCTGCATTTCTACAAGAGGCTGTTTCTACGGCACGACAACTGAACAAAATGCATATCAGAATTATAGAGAACTGTAAAACAGTACAAGCTTCTACCTGAGCCTCTCCGCTGGAATTAGATGGTGAAAAGTTTGAGGTGGAACCCGATTTCCCACTTATCTTTGTGGGGCTTGATTTGTGAGGTTCTTCACATAACCATAGAGGACAGCCAGGAGATGCATTACCTAGGTTCACAGTCGCATTAGGATAATGCAGCTTTCCGATACCATCTTGAGGATCATCATAGCTGTTATTCAAATCAATGTTACTTAGTTTCACCCCTGCAAGTGAAGTTGCTGAAACATTTGCATTGGTAGGTAAGCTTTCTTTTCTATGGTACATATACTCGGGCTGTGGGGCACAACAATTTTGTGGAATCTCACAATCAGCACCATTCGTGTCCATTCTCTTATCTCTCACTTCTGGTGCAGGTATACTCAAGCATTGCCCTGTTGGCTGAGGAGAGTCCTGCAAATCAACGCAGTTAGAAGATGAACAGATCATGTTCAATACCAAACGTTTAGATCAGTTCCAAACCTTTATACAAAACCACCCAGATGTCCCTGTGTTTTGCCGATCCGGAGATGCAGACAACAAGCCAGGCACATTCCTCTCATTAGCTGTACTAGCCAGACTAGCTAGGTTTCTCAGCAGATGGGACAGTAGATCCTGATCTTTAGATTGATCTGCGCTATTGGCTGCATTAATCCAAACAGGAGGAGCCAGGAAGTAACTCATCAAAACTTAAAAACAAATCTCAAAAAAGTAAAGGCAGCAATTATGTGGCTGCATGTATTATCAATATTTCTATAGGACCTAAATGCTTGCAGGGATTTACTAAAACTCACTTTCAAAATACACCCCCAATCTAATAAACATCCCAACTGCGTCATGCAAAGCTCAATGTCAGAGGGTTATCATAAGTAAAAGGTTCCACGCATACATCGTCCACATCAATACGCCAATAACCTCCCAACGGTATTAACTCAGGATATCGGGAAACCCTTTTAGATACTAACTGTGGTTCTTATTGATTCCTCTGCTCCTGTTCAACTGGGAAACCCTTTTTCTCTTTATTTTTCTTCTTCTTTTTTTCTTTTATTGAGAAGGTAAAATGCTTTTCATTGCAGGTTGATTGGGCAATGTCTTAATTTAAAACCAAATTCGGAAGGTCAAAAGAACCTTTCTTCTAAAATGGAACTCCATTAAATAATACTTCATCATTTTCTTTAAAGGTTTATGAGAAGAGTCTTGAGTTCTAAGGTATTTGAGAAAGGTAAGTAAAGTAGAAAACTAATGCAACAGTATCAGAAGTAAGTCTTTATGTCTTTCTGTCTTTGTTTGTATTTTGTGGATCTTAAAAGAGAAGGTCACTTTCTCATCCAAAAGCTTCTCATGAGATAGGTTTTCCCGATTTCAGATAAGCAGATCTGAATGGCAACATATAAATAATTCCTCTCTTTTTCAGTTGTAATTCTAAGTCAGGTTAACTCCGAACAAGTCTCAGGTGGAAGTTATTCTTGGACATGATAAAGCATCCAAACGAGGAGACAATCATGACCACTAATACAATACCACCATGCAAGAATAAGAAATAATGTGTTTCATATATCCTAAACAAATAAGTGTTCAGAAGCTCCCTTGAATGAATGCATAGCAAGTACTAACATCGACCTACAATCTACTTGAGCCTCAGAAAAATTCCAAGTCTCCAGATTGATATGTGTTGTTTGTGTCTTGAATTTTTTCCTTGTATTTTTAGGAAATCCATTCTCCCTAAAGGTTTGGGAAACCAATTGTATAGATTTGGGATTGGGAAACCTATTGTCCTTGTATTTAGGGAAAACCATTTTCCATGTGGGTTTGGGAAATTATTCCTTGTTGGTTTAGGAACTACTTGGAATCAATATGTTGTAACTAAGGAACCATTGTACTGTACAATTCTTCTCATTCATAGCCGAACTTCGTTAAATCCTAGTGTTATTTTTTTTCTTCTCTATTTGCTTTATATGTGATTCTGTGCTAGTTAACCCACAATCTTCCGCTTCAAGATGTCTGTTTACCCTTAAAATTGGATAACAATTAAATTTGTACGCGATTTTAAAAATACGTGATATAACTCGATACAAATTAAGAAGACAGATTAATATTGAAATTAACGATAATGAAATAAATGCATACCACAAAATTGAACAGCCTTAGCCTCCGAGTTTGATCACCCTCGAGCCAAGAAATATCTCAACTAGTGTTAGAACTGAACAACAAGATGATACGAACTAGAAATGATCAGTATATTGCTTCTTTTTGCGTGTTACAGTGTATCTTATAAATGATCAGAACCCCCCTTTATATAGTGGAGTGTTCTACTTTTGGTACAATTCTATACAAGGTAAAAATCTCATGATTTGCTTATTAATCGGCCTCTTCTTGATATGTGCCGAGATTTCCGCTGTGATCCTCGACCGATTGCGGATAGGCTTTCCGTTGTTTGACTCAGTAAGTTTCCCTCGATCTTGCTCGGTCTCGATCTTGCTCGGTCTCTGGGTTATGAGCTCAACGATATAATTTTGCACCTCGGTTTGATATAACCCGAGGTCGAGCTTTATCCTGCCATGTTTCAGCCTCGATTGGTCAAACAATGGACGAACCCGGTTTCGACCGTATACAATATCATAACACAATTATTCTAATTTCAAGAAAAGAAGTCATCCCTCTGTGGAAAGTTCTAATCAGGAATACTTTCCAACAATAATGGCAGTCAGGGGTGGGCTTGACACTGGAATAGATGGGTCACAGCTGTACTACGCTAGGTACTTTATTTATGGATAACTTGCACACATGTTTTATTTTCATGTGCCAATGCATTAAAATTGAGTTGCTAATCCCTTCCTGAATGCAACATGCAACATCTAAACTAGGAAGTAAGAACTGTTCTGATTTTAAACTAGACGTAGGAACAGTTCTGATGTTTAAACTACTCAAACAAAAAATATAATTACACAAAGACAAGTCTCCCGCCAATAAAGCATTAGCCACAGACAGTTACAAGTACAGAGAGATGCAGAGGGTAAGAGATAGAACTGGTGATCAGGAATACTCAGTGTATCAATCAAGTTGTCACTATGAACAGGAAAAGAAATAATGTGCATCATCTCATCATAGTGTTTGCACCAGAATGTGCATGATAGCACTCTGACCATCACACTTGATGGAATCTATAAGATGCCTTACAACATCGCTAATAACTAAAGTAATTTGGCTGAACGCATTCTCGGCGATGAAATAAATGCACTGCAAAGATAAGTGTGGTTTGGCTAGACACTTACAGTGTATATTCGCCAGTATCCTCAGCAGACTAATTAATAAGTAGCTACTACCCCGCTCATAATTCATGGAGGCTCCATTAGCTACGTTTTCCGGATGTGTCTTCCTTCTCCGTTTGTTGTGACCTGCTAAACGCCTACGACAACTCCGCTTCCCCTCATCAAACTCTTGCAGAACATGAAACCTGCCCAAAAGTAATCAAAACAACCAAAACACAATCAGTTTCAACAGACACAGCACATATTTGGATAATTGAAGTTTAACTGATCCGGACACATTACATCAAACATATAACAGTTATGCAACGAGATAGTGCTACCAACTACCATCTATTTTTTGTTGTTAAAAAATTCAATGAGTCAAGGTAACCCTAAGTCATAATTCTAGAAATACTAAATAGGCTCCTACAGCTAGACATAATCAAAGAAAGTCCAGTTGAAACCTAACCTGCTGCACTGCTGACAAAACCTCTGCATAACATTTCCGACCAAAGCTCTAGCAGCTTTAGAATGCACATCACACACTTTATGTCGTCGATGATAATCCTTAGAGTTGCTCAAATCAGCTTGACAATCCTCAACTTGGCATATTGCACGATTGGAAGAAGCCCCAGCAACTTTACTCTTCTTCCCACTCTTGCCTTGCCATTTTTCCTCCTCCTCCCTTTCCATTATCGGATACAGCTGCCCGCCAAGCTTCAAATTAAGCGATGCAACTTCATCATCTTCGCTTACCACAACGGAAACGGACCTCCTCCGTTTCTCCAATTCCTTCCTTCCCGTTCCCGATGCCATTTCATCAGAACCAGATGATAAGGTATTGGAGACTACTCCAGCAGTAGTTACCTGCTGTTTGCTCTGGCAATCAAACGGCATAGAACTCAGTGGAGCAGCTGTAAACAAATCACCATCCCACTTCCAATCATTTAAATCCCATTCCATACTCCTTTTCCCATACAAGTGCTGAATCTTTCCCCCAAACTTAGCCTCCATTTTGACCAAACACCTCAAAATGCATTGAAAGAAGAATTTTTTTTTTTTGAGAAACAGAGAAAAGATGCAATCAAACTGACATTTAAAAGGAAGAAGAGCAGCTGTTAATTAAACCGACACATCCATGGACCTAAAGAATAGCTAACCACATGTCCCAAAGATTACTCCACCTACATTTCCCCAACCAAACAAACACCTTCTATTTCTAAAAATTCACAAAGCCAAAAGCTTTTCTCCACTTATACAAAAGCCGATAGAAGCGTTACCGAGATTTGATCGCAAGATCGCCGCCGAATATAGTGGTATTATGATAAACGAGGAAAAAGAAAAAGTATTTTTGTCGGTAGAAAACAAAACAAAAATAATGGAGACTGCCTTTTTTATTTTCACAGCTCTTTAGAGAGTGCGTGTAGGGACTGAGGAGTAATACATTTTAGTGAAAATACATACGTCCTGCTGCAAAATGGAACTTAGGTGACAAATTAACACATGGTACGTACAAGCATGCATCAATTAGTTTTGGTATTCCATTATTCACGACTTGTTTGACCAAACTTTAAAAATTTATTTATTGTAAAAATTACTTCGAAAAAGGGTTAAAATTGCCACTGAACTACAGATTTAGGGCTAAATATATCCCCACATTTTCTTTTCGGCTCAAGCCTACCCTTATGACTAACAGCCTTTTCCACCGGAAAAATTATTTATTTAATGATGACATGGCAGCTTCTCATTGGCCGAAACACCTATTCCCATTAAAAAGACCCACCTATATATATCCATTTGCAAACTAACCCGCCCGAAACTGCACTAACTCGGCCTCAAGTGCCTAATTTTTATTACCAAATCAAAAACAAAACAAAAATCAAAAAATTAAGTAAAATAAAAATAGTATCACTGTTTGATCAAATACACTTGAGTTCATGCTTTGTTTCTGAGTTTTCGAATTTTACTGGTATGAGCATTTGAAAATGCAACTTCATTGGTAAAATTGAGAATGGATAATCCCTTGCTGAATTGAAAAGTTTTAGTGCTTAAAACTTTCCTTGATCATTCTACTGATTAGGATCTTTGGTGGATCAAATTTGTGGCTTGAAATTGTCAAAGTTGTTGGGAGAGTTTGGTTTTCAAACTCGAAATTGTTGTTTGGAACTTGCCGATTGTTATTACTTGATGCTAAAGTCAAGTTTATCTACTATCTTGGTTGCTCGAAAACGCAAGGAACAAAACTGCCCACCATTGAAACTACGCTTCGAAGCTTGCCCGCCATTTAATGATTTGTGGATGTTTGTTTATGTTCAAAATTTATAGTTCTCTACTGATTTGAACTAATTTTCTTGTGAAAATAGCTAAAAGTTTCATTGCAACCATTGACACGACTTTTCTTTCTTAAAAGAACCCTAATTTGAAGAAGAGGCACTTAGAAAAGAAAGAAGAAAAGTCCCGTGAGGGTGGGGGTTCCCTTTTTTCTGTTAGATATTTGGTTTGGGGTGAATTATTTCGAAAATGGGTACATATGGGTGGGTCGTTTTAATGGGTACAAGTGTTTTAAATTTGGCGAATGAGAAGGTTCCACATCATTATTAAAAAAATATTTGTTTTTTTCGAAATGAACTGTTAGTCATAAGGGTGGACTTGAGCGGAAAAGAAAACGTTGGGGGCAATTTTAATGCAATAGGTGGACGGAGGGTATATTTGAACCTATGCATATTGCCGTGCCATGTTTTCTATTGAAAGCGGGTTTCGACGTGTGACAACTCTTTTAAATGGGATTAAAAGAGAAGAGTCGCCACCTAAGGATTTTTAAGGTGCGTTAGGGCACCTATTCTACAAATAACTCTGTTTGACTAGTCAACGCCGGTAAGGCTCACATTACTTCAAAGGGAAGGTGTTAGGCACTCTTCGAAGTCCATAATTGTGGGTCCATGCTGAATATTAAACTATGTGGATTATGTAATTAAGCTAGGTGATCAAATGAGCAAAGAAAAATATAAAAATTGAAGACTCTCATTATAACCCATAAGAATAAACAATCAGTGCAAATCTTAAACATTACAAGTGTACAACCGCATTGGTCTATGTTAAATGACTAAGTGTATATAACAAGCATATAAAGAAGGGGGGGAGGGTCCTAAGTTTTTTAGCCTAAAGGATCACCTACGTGCAACATAAATAATACTTCGCAACTCCATCAAGGCAGTTACGTAACCGACGGCGCAATCAATACCTTTGGGAAACGTATCGACAGGTGCAATCAATGCTTTTTGGGAAACGGATCGGCGGCGAAATCACCGCTTTTGGGAGAATGTCGGCAGTGTAATGAATGCTTCTGAAGATGGATTGATGGGATGTTTTCAGTCACTTGGAACACTAATGTCACAAGTGTGACGTCATCACAAGATGTTCAAGAAAGTCAAGAATTCAAGACCGTTTCTTATCATTTTCATCCTAAGAAACGCGGGGACTATCTGTATACGGTAAAAATTAGAGGGTCCGATTTTATGACGCTTCGTATGCACGTCTCCAAACTCTCGAGGTTCGACCCCGAGGGTTCTTAATGTTTGACCTCAGGGCAGTATAAATCGGTAGTTATGATGGCAAAACGGGAAGTTCCCAAGGCACTTGATTAAAGCTGACCAAGTCTATTAGGCTAGTACAAGCCCGTACCGTGACATTAAATGACTGTATTAGCCGCATATCTTTGTAATAAATGCATCTGTACCATGTTAGGATTTTCCCTCATATATAAAGGGGATCCTTGTAGGGGATATACAACACACAACATTGAATACTAGAACAAGAACATTCTCTGTTGTCTAACTTAAGCATACTCTCCGTTGATCTTATTACTTACATTTATTGCTTATATTTATTGTGTTTCATTAATTGTTCTTCATTTATTACTCATTATTGATCATAAAGAGCCCTCATCAAGGCCTTTAGAATTGTTAGTTCTCCATTAGCTACTCAGAGCTCAACGCCTAGCTCGACCTCGAGGCCCTGTATAAGCCAGCTCGAGGCCCCGATTCTCAGTCACTCAGTTTGTGTATCGCACTATCCTTCAAGCTCTTACCTTACTTTCTAGTCTCACACTTACCATCTACTGCATAACAACTAGCATAAAATAAATCACGTATTTTTAGAACCACAAAATCAAATCTAATTGTAATTACCATTTTCACGGTAAACAGTTTGGCGCCCACCGTGGGGCTAAAAATAATAGTGATTGTTTTCTTGCTGGTTTACTACATAACGCAAGTTATCTTTCACGCTTTTTCTTGTCCAAAGAATCTTTGATTTCAGGTCAGAATATCAAACTCAGTGAACGCACATGAGAACAACGGTCCTGAGGACCATGGAGAGAATGGCATAGCTGTTTCAGGTGTCGGTGTACCACCGCGGAACCCTGAGGACGCACTAGAACCAATTCCAATGGACGTGGTCTCGCGCAATGCCCAACACGTCGATATAAGCTCCCACACTGACAGGAGTATACGCCAAGAGAATAAACAAGAAGCTAAGAAAATCTCAGCTCGGGAGGAACGAGAGGTTAGCCTTCACGTTATTTTTGAGATGTTGCAGGCACAACAGCTGGCGATCGCTCAACTGTAGAGCCACCAAAAGACTTCGAGCACAGCGGCCCCGGAAGCGGCTCCTCGAGCCGAACAAGTACCTGAAAGATCAAGCAACAACGGGTCAGCAGCCGATCCCGCTATCATAAAGATTCTCGAGGACCTCACGAAGAGGATTGAATCGGGCAAAAAGAAGATAGAAGCCAATGACAAAAAGGTGGAAACCTACAATTCAAGGGTCGATCAGATCCCAGGCGCACCCCCGGTCCTAAAGGGTGTAGATTCAAAGAAATTTGTACAAAAGCCATTCCCATCAAATGCCGCTCCGAAGCCCATTCCGAAGAAATTTAGAATGTCTGATCTCTCGAAGTACAACGGAACCTCGGACCCCGACGAGCAAATCACTGCTTATACTTGTGTTATAAAGGGGAACGACCTGAAGGACGACGAGATTGAATCCATCCTATTGAAGAAATTTGGAGAAACGCTTTCAAAAGGGGCCATGATGTGGTATCACAACCTAGCCCCGAATTCAATAGATTCATTTGCCATGCTGGCAGATTCTTTTATAAAGGCACATGCCGATGCCATTAAGGTCGCTACAAGAAAGTCCGACATCTTCAAGATCAAACAAAGAGAAAATGAGATGCTGCTGGAGTTTGTATCTCGTTTCCAAATGGAGCGAATGGAATTACCACCAGTCTTCGATGACTGGGCAGTGCAGGCCTTCACCCAAGGTTTGAACGAACAAAGCTCGATAGCTTCAAAGCAACTAAAGCAGAACCTGATAGAATATCCCGCCGTGACTTGGTCGGATGTCCACAACCGATATCAGTCGAAGATTAAGGTCGAGGACGACCAATTGGGAGCCCCCTCGGGCTCAGTATATCCCAACAGGCTCTGGCTAAGGAACCAAGGCCAAACAAGGAAAGGTATCGACCTTACACTGAAGATCGAAGAAATGCCCTCAGGCGTAACATACCCCGAAATAATCGAAGGATAGACCGAGGTCAGAATTCTCGGGGACTCGTGGGCAGAGTCGGATTCGACAGACGTACAGGACCGACGGAGGCACCCCAATTGTCCGAATACAACTTCAACATTGATGTTTCAGACGTCGTCTCTACCATCGGTAAAATCAGAGAAACCAGGTCGCCATAATCCATACAATAAGATCCGTCACAAAGGAACCCCAACCTGGTGTGCGAGTTTCACGGTACACACGGTCATAGGACCGAAGATTGCAGACAGCTCTGAGAAGAAGTAGCCCGACTGATCAGCAACGGGCATCTCCGAGAGTTCCTCAGCGACCGAGCCAAAAATCAATTTCGAAAAAGAGAGGCGAACAGGAAAAATGAAACAGAAGAACCACAACATGTCATCCACATGATTGTTGGAGGAGACGACATCCCACAGGAATCCATTGTCAAACGAACAAAAACATCCACCACCAGGGAAAAGCGAACTCGGGGTTACATACCCGAGGACGCTCTCACGTTCAGCGACGGTGACATCGAGACCCTGTCTCAACCTCATAACGACGCACTGGTCATCTCTTTTCTTGTAAATACATTTCAAATTAAACGTGTACTTGTGGATCCAGGTAGCTCGGCCAATATTATCAGCTCAAGGGTGGTGGAGCAGCTCGGAATGCTCGACTAGATCGTGCCCGCCTCTCGAGTCCTCAACGGATTCAACATGGCGAACCCTCCCGGTCAACGTGGTCGGCACAACCCAAAATGCCAAATTTCATGTCATCGAAGGAGACATGAGATACAATGCCTTACTCGGAAGGCCATGGATACACTACATGAGAGCAGTACCATCAACTCTTCATCAAATGATGAAATTTC